AATATGACAGGAAACTCAGGAAAAAAATTGGAACTTGAGTGAAATTGCATACCCTGTTTTATGACAAGAAGCTTGAAAACCATACTCTGTTCAGCAGATCATCCCCGTATAGTCCATATATGGGACCTCTATATTCACTATACGGGTACGTGCTGCCAAACAGGGTATGGTTTTCAGCAATTCTACTCTGGAACAGGGTATATAAAATCGCGCTCGCTCTGAAACAGGGTTTTCAGCAATCTTGCTCTGGAACAGGGTCAGGGTTCAGAGGGCTCAGTGGCACATCCCTACCCTAAACGGGCAAGAGTACCCCCCCCCCCCCTCGGGAATTCAATATGCATGTTATCAAGATGTGTAATGGGAGCTGAATTATATTTTGTAATCAAATTTGAAAGCAAATTCTTGTCGAGGAGGGAGGATTTTTCCTGGCTGTCTGTCTTGCTTTGCTTATCTTTCTGATTCTCTAGCTTCATGCCTGCCTCCATGCTTTATGATCTGAAACAAATAAAATTCTGTATCTCTGAACTCACTTCACTACTTTATATTCATCATGTGTATAAATAAATTGGTCTTTTTATCTATCCATTTACCACTAGTTATTAATCCACTCATCCATTCATTCATTTGACCATGCACTCATCCATTCATTTACTTGACCATACACTTATTCATTCATTGTCTTGACTATCAATCTGCTTACTCAACTATACTCTTATTCATGCAATTATGCATTTATTTATTTGACTGTCATCCATCGATTCACCTGTCCATCCACCTGTCCATCCACTTATTGATTCATTTATTTAGATTCATTTATTACACTATCTACCCATCCATTCATTCACACCATTTCATCTTTCYATTCATTTGACCATCCACTCTCATCCATCCATCCACTTGTCCATCCACTCATCCATCCATTCGTACAATATTCGTACAATGGCTCCACCCATTTTGATCCCAACAGATTTTGGGATTTTCTCTATTTAGTGGTATTGACTCTCTTTGATCATCTTATCATTGCTAAAGTCTTTCTTAATATATTTTTCATTCCAATTACTTCTTTCAGCACATGATTGCTGGGAGATAATGAAAAAAGGAACCGTCATGACCAAACTGTCAACTCACAACAAGGTGGGAGGAAAAGGCAGAAAACTCCAGCGGAAAACCTTCTTTTTGGATGAAAAGAATGTTGCTATATTCTATAAGCCAACGAAGAAGAAACACATTCGATGTAAGTCCTAGAACAACAGTTATATTTTCTGCATAGTAGGGGTCCATGGACTGATAACTAGGGCTGCTTGCCACTGAAAAATCCACTATTTTTTAAGGCACATTTAAACCTTTAAACCCTCCTTGCGGTTAATCAATGGCCGTAAAATATAAGTTTTATTTCCAACATTTTCGTGCTTGTACTTGCAGATGAAGTGGCACAGATCACCGATATCTTAACGGGAGATGACCTGAAGGAGGATTTTGGAGAACTGGCCAAGAAGCATCCCCTAGACATGTGCATCTCGATCGAATTTGGCCAAAAAGGAAGCCTGGAAATGATAGCTTCTTCACCACGCATTGCAAAAGCTTGGGTCTTTGGCCTTAAGACTCTCATAGAAAATAGAAGTAAGTTCTAAGGGACGGACCATTAGATTTTTGAGGGGGG